TTTTTGAAATTCTGGACCACTTGGTTAAGCATTCTGGTGTTGGGCAAGGCTCTTTAATTATGTTCTGAGAGAAGTTATTCCCTTTTGCTATTCACCTATCACTGTAAATAATGTAATTGAAACGTCAATTGAATAACTAAGAGAATTATACCAGAATTTTTAAAATATATAATACATATATACAAATGTACAAAAAGTTCTTTCATAGTTTTTAATGGTCAGATAGACTTGTAAATAATAAATAAAGAACCAGAAGTCTCTGACGAGACAATACATGTAGCTATACAGGTCTGTACTTATAATAAAGAAAGATGTATCTTAGTATAGTTTACTTGTCATGTGAAAAGTCTAATCAGATCAAAAATGTAGGAGGGGTAGCATTTAAAAAGAATTCAAAAAAAATTTCTAGTAACCATGGCAACACCATTCATCTAAATCAAAAAACCAATGTAAAGAATTTTGCGTATCTTGTGTACCAGTCTTATTGAAATTGACCAAGACTGTAGGAGAAGTAGTAGTTTAAAGGAACTTAAAAGAAAATTTTATTTTTGTAACCATGGCAACACCGTTTATTGAATTAAAAAATCAATATACATAATTATGTATCTTAGTATATATATAGTCCATTTGTGTACCAAGTTTTATTGAAATTGGACAAAAACTGTAGGAGAAGAAGGATTTTGAAAGCATTTCAAGAATTTTCAGACATAATGTAGGATTGTCTTTTGTAGGTATGAACATGAGGAAATACATACTGAAATTCACCACACTTTGTAATAAAAATATAAACATAAATCTTGACACCTTGCAAATGCATATTACCGTAGCTCTTCTAGTCTCTGACTAGTAGAGCAAAAAATGAAACAAATATACCCTGTTTTTGTAAATTAAGGAAGAATAGGACCTTGAGGTGAAAAAAATCTAGTCAATTTTTTTTCTTATTTTGTATATTACTAATTTAGAATACCCTACATATTGTAAAGCAGTTTTGTCATAAGATTTCCTGAGTTATTCAAGAGATTTTGCCTTTTTGCTCTTTACAGTGTCCTTAAAAAGTTTTGATTCGATCCATTATTGAGTCTACAATGGGGATTTTTAAGTACAAATAAAAAGGGCAAATATTTCAGAAAATAAATAGAGTTTAAGATTTTCAAAGCATTTTGTTTTATTTCAAACTGCTTATGGATTGAAGAAAATTATGCATTTTTCAAGGCAGTTCCAACACCCAAGAACTCATTTTTGAAAAAAAAATTCTGTCAATAAATATTTTTACAAACATTAACAATTGAACTAAAGTCTTTCATTTTAATAACTAACATCGTTGAACAATGCAAAAGCGTTAAAAACAAGCTTCATATTTACATTTTCTGACTACGTGAAAAACAATTGTGAAGTCACACAAAAATTTAACAAGCGAAATGGAATATAAGTACATGTATAGAGAATCATGCAAAAAAATTATTGTGTTTCCTGCTTCAAAGAAATCGCTTGCCAGGGCTAGAAATAATTGTTTTTGTTTACTGGTCACTTGGGCTATCGCCTTAAATTTTTACTGGTCAGCTTAGTACTTTCACTGTCCCACTAGGCCAGTAGATTTTAAAAAGACTGGCCCAAAACCATAATAATAATAGTAATAATTTTTTATATTGTGATACTTAGAAGTACAACTTAACAAAACAAGAATCAGTAGAAGTTGGGACACACAACCCTGTCAAGTTAACTAGCCTGACTGTGAATGAATTTTATTATGCATAAAAAAATGCTGACCAAAAGGGCACATGCCCTCTGCAATGTACTAGCCCAGGTTGAAAATTCACTGGCCCCAGACAATAGGGGCCATCTATTATTTCGAGCCCTGCTTGCAATGCATTGACTATGTCCTGTTTTAATGTAATAAAACTGATTGTGTTTTTGGATTTGATCTCACTGCATTAACAGATCATCTATAATGTCACTGACTTGTAAGAAAAGAGTATGGAACGCCATATCTGCCTTATGTGGTTATTTCATGAGAAGATGGTGCTTTTTTATGTTATGCTGTGGTTATTTCATGTGAAGGTGGTGTTTTTTTATGTTATGCTGTGGTTATTTCATGTGAAGGTGTTTTTTTATGTGAAGATGTTTTTTTTTTTTTATTTGAAGGTGGTTTTCATGTGAAGGTGGTTTTTCATGTGAAGGTGGCTTTTTATATGAAGGTGGTTTTTTATGTGAAGATGTTTTTTCATGTGAAGATGGTTTCTTATGTGAAGATGGTTTTTTAGGTTATGCTGATGTTTTTTCATGTGAAGGTGTATTTATATTTAATGAGAAGGTTGTCATTCGGAACTCCTCATATTTTTGAAGACTGAGTTAAACAGCTATTATCTCAAAATTTTGAAAGTAAAACAAATAGTCAATGTAATTAAAATCATTTTAATACACCATTGCTAGTTCCACTTTTTTTCCATGGGCACTTGTTTTCAGGATTGTGTATTTTGTGTATTATGTTTTTTTCTAGGTGTGTCTGAATACACTCGATAACATAAAAATAAAAAAAATAATCACTGAAATTAGCACGTTTTAAAAATGTCATATTACTGTATATAATAAGATTGAAGGTATGACAGATGCGATTTTCGGAAAATCTCTCTCTAGACTTTCCGTGTCATTCCGGGATGCCTCTACATTTTACACAGTCACTTTCAGTGCTAGGTATCAGGATGTTTTTGTTTACTGCATATTTTATACGCCAAGTTCAAATTGGCAGACGAGTGAAGGGCGTTATTCAATCATTTTTTAATGTAGATTTCACCCAAATCTGTAGATATTGATTAATTTGCAAGACTATTTTAGTGCTAATTTCAGTGATTTTTTTTTTATTTTTATGTTATCGAGTGTGTTCAGACACACCTAGGAAAAAAAAAACATAATACACAAAATACACCATCCTGAAACCAGGCGCCTATGTAAAAAAAAAAAAAAAAAAGAGGAACTAGCAATGGAGTATTAAAATGATTTTGATTACATTGACTATTTGTTTGTGAGGAGTTCCGAGTGACAACCTTCTCATTAAATATAAAAAAAACACCTTCACATGAAAAAAACATCAGCAAAACATAAAAACCACTTTCACATAAAAAACTATCTTCACATGAAAAAACACCTTCACAAGAAAAACCACCTTCACATAAAAAAAAAACCACCTTCACATAAAAAGCCACCTTCACATAAAAAAACAACTTTCACATGAAAAACCACCTTCACATAAAAAAACACCTTCACATAAAAACCACCTTCACATGAAATAACCACAGCATAACATAAAAAAGCACCACCTTCTTATGAAATAATCACAGCATAACATAAAAAAGCACCATCTTCACATGAAATAACCACAGCATAACATAAACAAGCTAATTCAGAGAATTTATGTCCCCCACTTAGTGAACAAAGAGCATGCGCAGTTCCTGGGGGGGGGGGGGGGGTTGGACCCCTCACCAGATTTGTAGAATTATTAAATGTATACATGTATATTGAAGGAAATAAAAAATGCCAGTATGGATATAAAGATTTGATTGCTTATTCTTTAATATGTGTATAAAAGATTCTTTTATATAGAATATTTATCACACTGTAATAATGATTTTATAAGTTCACGCCAGACGTCATAACTTTTTCATTTCACACGTTGAATACTTTCAGTTAGTAAATCCACAAAAAAAATCCTAAAAAAAGGATCGTCCGGGATTTGAACCCGGTACCTCTCACTTGCTAAGCAAGAATCATACCCCTAGACCACGGAGGCACTTGATTATACAGCAAATTAAATGCAAACATAAGGTCACATATAATGTTTATATTCACATTCGATATTGTCAAAATTTTACACAATACATGGTGTCTAATTTAGCCTTTACTAAACAGTTCTAATAGATATAATTAGAATATAAATTCCGCCGACAACCTGTATTATACGTAATAACTCTCCACATGCCCCTGTGCTAAAAATAGTGCCAAGCAACTTTTAATACAATAGATTAAAAAAAAAAAACGGGGAGGGACACTTTGAGAGGGGGGAGAGAGACCACAGGGAGTTATGGTATAAAATTTCATTGCAAAAGCTTCTTGAGATATCGCCCGGAAACGAAAGTGTTACACACAGTCGGAATGTATGAATTTACGACATTGAACTTTGACTGCAAAATCAATAGAGGTCTTCTTTAGGCCATAGGGAGTTGCTCTGTAAAATTTCATTGTGAAAGCTTAAAGGGTTCTCAAGATATCGTGCGGAAACGAAAGTGTTACAGACAGACAGAAATACAGATGGATGGACGGACAGACAGACCCAAATTAATATCACCCATTTTCAGTGAAAGTGGGGGACAAAAAGCACCATCTTATCATGAAATAACCACATAAGGCAGCTATGGCGTTCCATAAAAGAGCGTAAAGAAACGGAGGGGTGGATCAATCTATTTCACAATTTGTAAATAGTGAGCAGACATGATCATTAAAACTCTTAAACATTTTTCTATAAAATGTTGAAACTGAACAAGCTGTACAAAATTACACAAATACTGATGATTTTATTGTTTAGCAGCTAACTATTAAAAGACTATTATACCTCTACTGATTTTTCTATCTATAAAATTAGATGATTAGATGTGAATGCACTAATCCCTCTGCATTAGTCAGGTGAGCAATCCCTGCTTTGAAAGCTGATTACTGGTTATCAGTAATCCTTGCCTTTTGAACATGGGTGGAATTTGAAAAAATCAGAATTCTTTTCCATCATTTTCTTTACTTATGAAATGATTCACTTTTTTGGAGTAATGTCCTATTAAGTCTTCATAGTTGACGAATTCAGCATCTAGCTAAGATTTAGGTCTCAGTCTGAAATAATATGGTTCAAAGGTATGACAAGATATTTTATGTTTGTTCTGTTTGTACCTTGTACATTAATGCATACCTTTGCTTTGATGGAGGTGTACAGATTAGATGATATCTTTGCTTTTTGACAGGAACTAGCTCAGCCCTATCTCCTGTTGTTTGGGGGCAAAGACATGAACGGTGGTAGTGTTTGGTTAGAATCTCTGACAGCATGGAGATGTGAGGTGTTTGTTAGACACAGTGATATTTCTCATGGAGAATTCCACAAGTAAGTCAGTGCCAAAATTTTAATGAAAAATGTAAGCTAAGAAAAAGTCAAAGTGCACATTTTCTAAATTGTTTCAAGCTACATTCTCACAAGAGACATCTGTCATAATGATAGTCATTTGATATTATCTATCTATCCAGTGAGAATTACCATACAGTGATGGTTAAAAACAACCTTTTCTGTGAAATAAATTCTCTCTCAAATAAAGAACATTATTTTCAAACCTTATTTGGTGATCTTAAATATTTGCTTCTATGATTTCTTGTTTCTTCCAGGTCCAGTCTCATAATATAACAGCTAGGATAGCTATCAGTAGCATTCCTGTAGTGAGCAGCTAGCACTTCATGCACACACACACATCTCAAATGTCAATGCAACTGGAGAACCAAACCGGTTAAAAATGTGCCCTTAATAATATTTATTTACTTGTTGAGATCATTTTGAATTTTATTTAGGCACATGTAATTCCTGTATTCAGTGACATTTTCTATAAGCTCACCTGAACAGAAGATTCAAGTTAGCTTTTCTGATAATGTGTCATCCTTCGTCTGACTGTCTATTTGTTTATTACATTTTTGAGTTTTTCGCATCAGAACCACTGGACCTTTTTCAGCCAAATATGCCACAATACACCCTGGTTGGGGGGATACAAATTTGTTTTAATGAAGGATCACAATCTCTTGAAAAGGGAGATAATTCAAAGTTTTACATGGGAGTATTTACATACTCGTATTCGGGAAAATTTTTAAAAATCTTATTCTTTAGAACAACATTGCCATAGGTAGTCATATTGATATACAGGAAGTGTTTGAAAGTTTATTCATATCATGGCCATGAGGTAATGTGGGACTACAATAGGGGATCAAAGTTTCATGAGGGACTATGATCTTATAAGGGAAAAATCTTCTTCTTAAGAGCTGCTGAAATATGGCTGAAATATTGTCAACTCAGTGTTAAGCAATAATAAATCAATCAATCCTCTCCAGAACAGTATAGGGCTATCATTAGTCATACTCTTCGGGTTGTCAAGAGTGTGATATGTTAAATTATGGCACAAGAGGGTAAATTTGAGCCACAAATAGATGCAAAGTTTTTAAAAGGGATTATATAGAAATCAATAAATAACCTCCTTTCAAGAACAGTAGGGCTATGATTAGTCAAAATTACAGTATGGAAGCATCCCCAGGTAGGGCATTTTCAAGTTTGTTGAATTTGCAATCTCCAGGAGTAGGTTTGGGCCACAGTAGGGGATTAAAGTGTTTTATTTGAGAATACAAGAAATAAAAATAATCCTATCAAGAGTAGTAGGGCCACACTAAGTAGATATGTAGACAGTCCTAGGATGTGTGTATTCAAGTTTTTTTTTCAAATTTTGAACCCAAGAGTAAGGGTGGGTCTAAAATTGGAGATAAAAGTTTACATAGTGCATATATACTGGAAAAAAATTGTTTAAAAATCTTTTTTTCTAGAAATGCATGGCTATGCTATTCAAAATAATATTGAAGCATCCCTACATTGTGTGGATTCAAATTCAGTTAAATCATGATTCATTTGGGCTAGTGTGGGGCAACAGTATGGGATCAACAGTTCTCATGGGAATTTTGAGGCAATTTTTTTTTTCTTTTTGCAAGTCTTTTATTCTGAAGAGCAGCTGGACCAAGGTGATTCAGGTGAGCATTGTAGCCCATGGGCCTCTTATTGTATGCCAAACTTTTTATAAGGAAGCATTTTTAGAGGAAGTTTCAAACCTTTTTCATGTATTTATTATCACTTTTAGTATCTTATAGTCCATGTATATATATTACATTTACCAAAATAAGTACAGTATAAAAACTCACTGAGTACAAACAAGATACAGCAAATTTCATAATTCCTTGTTAAATTTTTCAGTTATAAGAAACACTGATATAACAAATTTACAGACAGAGCGAATTGATTTTATGTTTTGTAGAGGTTAGAAATAATAAAGTTTACATCTTTTATAATAAATTTTCAAACATCTAAAAAATTTAAAGAAAAAAAATAGAACTGATATTATTTTTGTAAGTAAATATTAATATTTGATATTAATCTTAATCAGAAAACATTAGTTTTAATATTTCCCTGAACATACTCGCTAGCCATTTTCGAAGGTAAATGTGTATTTCAAATTTGCTGTGGATACTTTGATGAATTTGTTATACACTGTCAGATATAATGAATTATGGATATAGTGAAGTAAATTCACAGGTTCTCAGGATTTCTCTATAAACCAGTCTTAATGTATTAAGTCGACATATTATACTTTAAAATTATATATTTTCGTGGGGTCAAATTTTCATGGTTTTAGAAAAAACTATGGGTTCATGGGGATTTGATTTCGTGGATGAAGAATTTTTGAGTATGTAGGTATGAATGTGACACTACTTCTTGTGGTGGACATAAATTCGTGGGTCTCTTCAAACTTCAAAAGCAAAGAAAATCAAATCCCCATGAAAATTAATGATTTCACATTAGTCATGTCTGATGAAATGTTAGGGAACAAACAAGTTTGATGCCAAAGCATAATATGTATGATGTATTTTATAATTGCAAACCAATTTTAAAGTTATTTGTCATCGTATGTATAATATGTTAACATTGGTATCCTGAACATTGATGATGAATGCTATGCCTGGGGTATGTCAAAATGAGTCAGTGGTCCTGATCATGATAAATACTCAAATGTTAACAAAAATATGTCAAATCTTCAGATATCTGAATGTTTTTATCTCACCTGAGCTCAAAGTTCAATTGAGCTTTTCTGATCACCTGTTGTCCTGCCTCTGTCTGACTGTCTGCCCAACTTTTCACATTTCAAATTCTCAAGAATCACTGGGCAAATTTTAACCCAAATGGGCTCATAGCAGCCTTGGGTGAAAAGGAAAACAAGGTAAAATTAGAGTTGGGTCATAAAAAATCTTTTTCTCAAGAACCACTGGACCAAAAAATGAAACTTATTTGAAAGCTTCTTGAGGTAGTGTAGATTCTAAATTGTTCATATCATGGCCCCAGAGGGTATGGTGGAGCCACAACAGTGGATCAAAGTTTTACATTGAAATATAATGGGAAGATTTTTACAATTTTTCTAAAAATGTGCTGGATCAGGAAAGATGAATCTTATGCGAAAGCTTGATGTAGTGTAGATTTTAAATTTTCAAATCATGGCCCCAAGTATAGAGTGGCGACACAATATGGGATCAAAATTTTACATTGAAATGTAAAGGAAAAATCTTTAACAATCTTCTTAAGAACAACTGTACATGTACCAGAAAAGATGAAACTTATAAATGTGAAATCTTCCTAATATAATATGAATCCTAAAATGTTCAATCACAACACCCCCTTCCAGATCCCAGGAATGGGGCCAGTTTGGGGGCTCAAAGTTTTACATAGAGCTTTATATAATTTTTTTTTTGAAAATCTTTTCTATTTTTGAGAACCACAATAGAACCATTAATTTGCAAACATTCTAAAAATGTGTGGATTTAATTTTTCAATTCATGTATCCTGGGCTAGAGTAGGTTTAAATCGAGATAAAATTGAGCATAATGCATGTATATGAGAAAAGAAAATTTTTCTCCATGACTGCAAAGCCATGTTAGTAATATTGAAGCTTTCCCATGTTGTTTGGATTCAGAAACCTTTTAGACCATAATATTGGGTCACAGTCTAAAAATCTTGGGAGGAACACTAAGGCTAAAGTAAAGGTGAGCATTGTGGCCCATGGGCCTCTTGTTTGACAGTCCTGAAATATTGAAGATATTAATGTACTTGTCTATAAAAGTGCATTGAAATGAATATTTTAAGAATGTAAATCTATTTGATTACAATTTCTGTGATATTTGGTGTCTGGACGATTACAAAATACATGTATATATTTTGTTTTAATAGTACACTTAGCAAGCTCTTTATTTTAGGTGTGATTCTTGCCAACTGGAAAGTCCTTTTATTCTCTCTCTTGATTTTGTAAACATATCTTTATGCACAGTTGAATTTTGGTATCTTAAACTTCAATATCTCTCCCACTGACATATCAAAGTGAGCTGGAAATCAAGCAATTTTCCTCCATGTATTTTAACCTCGAATCATCCAATACATGTATCTCAGTTTTTTCTTGTTCCCATTGAATTTGGGATAACAAGGTTTGACTACTTTGTTTCCTGTTGATACTGTGCAACTTAGAATTTTTTTAATAGGCTAAATTTGATCACCTGATAATTTTGTATGAATGGATTAACTCTTCTTGAGTAAATGTCTTGGTTGTTTTATGCTCTTTGAATATCTGTATTTGGTGCAACCTTATTGATGTAGGTTTTTTCTAGACAATTTAGTGTTTTTGATATTCATTAATGAGAAATCCACCCCAGTGCTTACTGCAGCATTATCAATGTTGATTTTTCACCGATCATAATGTTTTTATATTTCATATCTAGAATAGCAAATACAACTTTTGGCATTTCTTTTGAGTAGAAAATTTGTATGTATGATATTTTTTTTATATTTTGTTACTATTATCATTATTATTTTTATTTTGACATTTACTTTATATCATTTTTCAAAGGCATTCTTCAAATAAAAAAATTAAAGATATAAAATAACCTGGGCATTTCCCGAGTGCATCCATTCTCAACAAATTAATACCCTTTTCAATGAGCAATCGTTTGCAAGGAATTTAACAGAGATAGGGGTAAAATAATTTAAAATCTTTTGTATTTCTCGTTTTTTTCCTTTTTAATAGATAACTTTTTTAATTTTTGACTTGTTAATGGACATAAAAGGGGAGCCATTTTTTTAAATCACAAATTAAATCAATTACCGGTATTTCAAGTGAAAATTTCTGTAAAATAGTTCCAAGGGAGAGAACTCTTTGAGAACCCACACTGGTAGCTAATGCTTTGTTCTGAACTATGATGAAAATTAAATAGTAAATATCAATAGTTAAAAGGCTACCAAGGGATATTGTTCAATTTTAAAATAACATAATCCATAAAAGTCATTCAATCTACTAATTCAAACAGTAATTAAATTTGTTTGCAAGCATATAAATACATATATCAATATAAAAAAAAATGGGACAATTGTCTTTGAATGAGGCTCAGTTTCTTTGTGATTGCTCCTGAAATGTTTTCTGTAGGTTGGCTTATAACTTTTATAACAAATTTTAAATTTGAAGTGATAATCGTGTTATGTACTTATATATTCAGTAAAGTTCATAGAGATAGGAAAATGATTTTGTGATAGTGCTCATTATAGAAAAAGATTATTTTCATAGTTGTTTTATATTATTGACATAAAAATATAAAAATTTCAAACCTCTGTTATATACCA